CACAAAAACTAACTCAAAATGAATCCAAGACTTGAACATAATAGCTGATGCTATAAAACTCCTTGAAGAAATCATAGAGAAAATTCTCAACACTGGTCTTGGCAATGATTTTTTGGACATGATGCCAAAAGCACAAACAGCAAATGCAAAACCCAACAAAAGGGACTACGTAAAACTTACAGCTTCTGCACAGCAAAATAAATAAATAACAAAATGCAAAACCAATCTACAAAGTGGGAGGAAGTTTTACAGACCATGTATCAGATAAGGGGTTAATAGCTAAAGTACATAAAGAACTCATAGAAATGAATAACAGTGAGAATAACAAAAACCTTCTACAGCTCAAAAACAAACAAAAAAACCTCAGATTTTAAAATGGTCAAAGGGTGGGGCACCTGGGTGGCTTAGTCATTAAGCATCTGCTTTCAGCTCTGGTCATGGTCCCAGGGCCATAGGATCAAGCCCCACATAGGGCTGTCTGCTAGGTGGGAAGCCTGCTTCTCCTTTCCCACTCCCCCTGCTTGTGTTCCCTCTCTCGCTGTGTCTCTCTCTGTCAAATAAATAAATAAAATCTTATAAATAAATGGATAAATAAATAAATAAATAAAATGAAATGGAACTATATAGACATTTTTCTAAGAAGACATCCAAATTTCCAACAGATACATGAAAAAATGTTCAATACCACTACTCATCTGGGAAATGCAAATGAAAACCATAATGTAATATCACCTTACATCCATTAGAATGGCTTTCATCAAGAAAATTAAAAAAAAACAGGTTGGTGAGGATATGGAGAAAAGGGAGTACACTGTTGATGGGAATGTAAATTGTCTCAACTGCTGTGGAAAACAGTATTGAGGTTCCTTGAAAAATTAAAAATAGATAGACTATATTATCCAGCAATTCCACTTCTGGGTATATACCCAAAAGAAATGAAAACAGGATATTGAAGAGATATATACAGTCCCATGTTTATTGCAGCATTACTCACAATAGTGAAGATATGGACACAACTTAAGTGCCCATCAACAAATGAAAGGACAAAGATATGGTATGTACATACAATGGAATATTATCTAGTCATGAGAAAGAAGAACATCCTGCCATTTGCAACAAAATGGATAGACCTTGAACACATTATGCTAAGTGAGGTAAGTCAGAGAAAAACGAGTACTGTATGATTTCACTAACATGTGGACTCTAAAAAAGCCAAACTCATAATAAAAAAAAAAAAAAACAGTAGTTACCAGGGGATGACGGATGGGGGATAGGAAAGATGTTATTTAAGGGTACAAACTTGCAACAAGTAGTCAATAAGTCCTAGAGATCTAATGCACAGTATAATGAATATAGAAAACATTATCATATAATAGTCATCAAAACTGCTAAGAGACTAGAACTTAATTATTGCACTCACTAAAAAGAAAGGACCATTATGTAGCATGATAGAGATGCTAATTATCACTATAATGACAATTATAATATATAAATGTATCAAATTAACATATTTTACACCTTACATTTACACAGTGTTATATGTCAAATATATTTCAATAAAGTAGCATTCTTTAAAAAGTTCAATTTGTCAGCTTCAATTTATCAGCTAGGAAACTGAAGAATTGTATTTAAATCATATTTATGGAGGAGATTAAATAATTTCACCAACTCACTTTGAAATTGACCAAGGCCTTTAAGCAGTCTCATTTTTCCCCCTAAAAATAGAATTGGTCAACAAGTGACCAAAGTTAGCATGCCCTTTTGTTAACTTCAATTATAGAACATGTTACTGAAGTAGCATCAAAATTTCATCTTAAAAAATTTTTCATACCACTGCCAGAACTGACTTCGGGCAGAAAATATACTTTAATTCCTTGGCAGTGATTTGCTAGGCTGGGTTCATTCCCCAACATTTAGTAAGAAAAATATAGTCCTGTAATGTTATCCAATTTCCCTTGAGGAAAACAAGATTAATGATAAGCCAGTTCAATTTCTTTGCACCTGTGCAGCTAAGCAGGCTTACATGAAGTTGGAAGTGATGGAGTAGAAATGCTGGAGTCACTCACAAAGCCACTGACAAAAGAGGATCTGGAAAATAAGATTTCAACAGCTGAAAAAGTAAACATAAACAAAGATTATAAATCCAAGTCCCTTAAAAAAACACTTGACATATTATCTACACGATGCTAAGAGATCACCATATCCTTTAAGAACATATCTAAGATCTCCAAACACTTTGTAATGAAGCTCTGTGAACAGTTGATGACCTGGCCCATTGGTTAGCAATCTTCAGCTGAAAGGAACAAAAGACCCAAAAAATCTGGCTTAAATGATAAGAATATGTATTATCTTACATGAAAAGTCTGGAGGCAGGGTAGCTCCAGTTTGATTAATTCAGTGGTCCAGTAATATTTACTCCAGCTTTGCTTCTCTTAAGTGTGTCAACATTCCCCTTTTAATTGCAATATGGTTCCAACAGTCACTTCCCTGGGGGATGACTTCTCTAAACTTCTAGAAGAGGACCTTGATGGCCTCTTTAAATTACCCTTCCAACCTAAATTCTCCTCATATTAAATGATTTACATTTCTCTTGAAAGCGAGATTTGGCTGGAATTATTTTTTTTAACCCAGTCTTTGGTTTTTAATGAGGAGTTTAAAACATTTACTTTCATTTTGATAGCTGTTCTGTTTGGGCTTATCTATGTCTATTATTTCATGATTTTTATTTTTTATCATATTGAATTTAAGTCTGAAACAAGCCTGGTATAAAGGGAAGACACAGAGAAACCAGTTCATGCATGTACTTGTTGGCCATTATAAGGATTTAGGATTTGTTTTAAATGCAATGGAAGAGCATTGAAATGTTTCAAACAGGGTACTCTTTGATTTGCTATACATCTTAAGATCAGTATGATCATTATAAGGGAGAATAGATTGCTTGGAGGAAAGAGAGGAAACAGTAAGGCCAGTTAGGAGGATGTCAACTGTACTTCAGGCAGTATCTATTGCCTGGTGACCTGGACTAGGTGGTAACAATGGGCATTGAAGGAAGATAATGATTCCAAATTAAGAACTGACATATAAAGACTTGCCAATAGAACAAATAGGTGGCAGGAATTGAGAGAGGGGATGAAAGATGGAAAGATTGTATTTGCTTCTGGATGATGACATTATTCTCTGGGTAATGGAGAAACCTGGGGAGAACACATTTACAAGGCAAAGAGAATAAACAGTTAATGTTTTAGATGCATAAATGCAAGGTATCTATGAAACAACCAAGTGGATATGTCAAAGTCAGCTCTTGGATATGTGAGCTATTTATTGCACATAGTTGAAGTCTTGACTAGAGATATAAATGGAGGCCTCATCAACCAACTGAGCTCTGAGAGATGCCAGTGTAACAGCCCAGCCAGGTAAAGGAAGGGTAGCCACTAAAGAGAAGTGTGAAGAGACAGACAATGTGGTAAGAGGAATGTCATAGGAGCCATTTTCTTGATGCCAAGCGAGACTGTGTTCCCAGAATTTGGGTCCAGGAAAGATGAGAACAGAAACTGTCATTGAATATGGCATCCTGGAGGTCATGATTATCTTAACAAGAGCATCTTCTTTGGAGTATTAAGGCAAAAGGCAGTTTGTGGCGGTGGCAGAATAGAATGGATTGAAGGCAACAGAGACATCATGTGAAGGTTTGGCTGTGAGGCGGAGCAATGGAAATCTTTTTTGTTTTTGTAGCACTTGAAAAGTTCATTTCAGTCCATAAGTACTCAATGCATGTGTGGAATCAATCTTAATAGTTATCAGTGTAGACATAAAAATCTAACAGATGTCTGGGTATATATTATGCACTATTTGGACAGAGGTATTCATGCTGAACTCTATTTCTGTAATTGAAAGAACCTATGAGTAGGGAAGAATAGAGCAGCCTAGAGCAATTTCCCCTTCAGTGTTGGGTTCTATACATGAACTTCATAGTACTGGGTTCTGTCCGTGAAGTCTTCACCACCATTCCAATTCATTTTGTATCATGGTCTTACTACAGATCTTCACATGAGTATCCATTCATCATAAATTATTCTAGGATCCAGAAGAGAAAGAAGGATGGTATCATCCAAATACTACAGATATTTTATTAGCGGAAATCACCAGACTGTTTACTATGCCTAATTGTGGTGATACATTCTTTAAAAAAAAAAAAATTAACATTATAACACTGGGCTTTTTTATTATTATACTTTCCTTATACAAATAATATTTATACAGGATCATACTATAGAGTTATTTAAGTGCATTATTTATATAATGATATTTTGTTGTGAACCTTTTTTGCCTGTCTAAAATGTAGATTATATGACCCCAAACAATATGTTCTATTTTCCACAAGAAAGAGATGTTACATCAATTATATATTTTTATATAATCATAGTTGGGAATATTAAATATGAATGCATACATAAGAGAAATATAGTTATACTGAAAATCAATGATTTATTAAGTTATTTTATAAAACTATGAAGCATCTCTTTTAATATATGCAAATAGGTTCTGAGGAATATTTACTTTGAGGCCAAATAGTAATAATAGAAGTAAGATCATATAATTTGAACATTGACAATTTCAATGATAAATTGCTGCTCTTATTTAACAATAATATGGATCAGTTTATAGGCTTTATGCCTGCCATGTACTTGTGTGCATTACGATGATCACATGTCACTATAATATCACTAACTGGTTATGTTAAGTAATTGTCATACATTTAAAAACTAGTTACGGAGTTATAGTTCCTTGTAAAAGAGTGCCACTGACACTCTTAGAATAATTTCAACTTACCGGAACAGCTTAAAAATCCTATACGTTAGTTTGTATACAGCAATTACATTTTCTTGCTCACATCTGTAAAAATTCAGCAACAAGATCAAAATCTACTTGTGTTTTAATATACAGACTAAATGTTTCATTGTTTTACTTTTGTAAAATGATGCATCTCTGGCTTTGTTTAGGGCCTGAAGGTGCACTTTTTGAACATTCAGTGGAGACCCCCCTCGTAAGAGCTGACCCATTTCAGGACCTGAGGTAAGAATTTTGTTCAAACATAAACTCTCCTATGGAAGATACCTGGGTATGTGCTGGAACAATATTTTAGCAGTCATTACCAGATTGTGTCGTATTCCATTAATTAATTGTCTTTATTCTCATGATGTTCCACTTATTAACTAGTCATTACTTACTAAAATCCAAATGAAGTAAAAAAGTGCCACTGATTCCCTATGTTTGATCCACCCAAAACAGAAAATTTGCCATCTTAACCACTTTTAGGTGTACAGTTCAAGAAAGTATTTTAAGTACATTCCCACTGTTGTACAACCATCACCACCCTCCATCTCCAGATTTCTTTTCATTTTGCAGAACTAATACTCTGTGGCCAGTAAACGACTTCCCAGTCTCACCTCTACCAAACCCTGGAAATCACCATTCTACTTTCTGTCTCCACAAATTTGACAACTCGAGGCACCTCATATAGATAAAATCATACAGTATTTGTACTTTGTGACTGGCTCATTTCATTTAGCATAATGTCCTCAACCTTTGTTATATCTTTACATAATGTCAGAATATATAAAATCACCTAGTTCCAGATTGTAAATGTATTCTTTATAGGAGTCTCTGTGTGCCTATGTGTACTTTACTTTATCAATGCACTACTGAATGACATTTATTGCTATAACTGTTTATTCCAATATTATATTTATATTTTGTAACAAAATCAAATACTATTTTTTAAAAACAAGTACCTAAAATCTAAGGTATCCCTTAAAATTACATTCAGTATTTGAACTTGAAATATATGCAGAACAATTAACATCCTAATATATTATGTATAATAGAGGAAATTAAGTATGGTAGGAATCCTGGCTTTACACAGAGAAGCCTTGTGACCTTGGCCAAACATAGCTTTTGAAACTATTTTTCTCATCTATAAAATGTTGATAGTAACATATATCTCAATGTATTCTGGGAAAGATTTAATTAGCTATTAGGTTAAAAGTATTTTGTAAACTGAAAGTTGAATACAAATAATCATTTTTATTATCATTATTATACCAAGTAGATAATCACACTAAATGGAATAAAAGTTAGAAAATTAAGCATTTTTCTTATCTTTAATATCTAATTAAATATTAATGAAAAGCAAATGAGGGTTCAATTCATCTTACCCACTTAGAGAACATTTGCAGCATGAAAACAAATTGTGATTCTAATTACATTAGAACAATTTCATTATTTTTGATAAAGGATCACAAGATCAATATTACAGAATTATTATAGTGAGGGAAGAAGAACATTTTACTTTTCTAGGATAGAAAAATGATTCAATATCTTTAAAAATAATCCCATTAAAACCAATTTGAAATTATAAAATAATATAAATTGTAGAGATGCCAGACTCCTTTTTGAAGTAATTTACTTAACTGTTTTAAAATATATGGATCTCGAAATTAAACCCTTTATCTTATGTTGTCCCATCAGGGTATAATCTGCTGGTTATACAGCAGGCCTTTGCTAAAAAAGAAATGGCAGAAGAGTATCCTCATGCTTTCCAAAAGGTGGTACTAAGTGGGGGGTGGTCACATAAACCAGGTGTTACAGGCAAAGTGATTAAGAAGATAATGAAACTGTAAGAAATTCCTGGAGGAATGGGGTGAGGATGGAAGGCATGAACTTGTACTGAATGTCTTCAACTGCCAGGATCTGTGCACTGTCCCATAATTTGTCTTATTTAATCATCAACTCTACCTTAAAAATAAGCAACTTTATCCCCATTGTATAAAAGAGGAAAACCAAGATCTAGATAGCAGCATGTTCTAATCAAAGATTAAAAAGTAGCATAAATAAATAAACAAATAAATAAAAAGTAGCCAACGGATTATTCAAATTCAGCTCTGACTCCACAGTCCATGTTTGTTGGGTGTTTTCTCTCCACCACTTAAGTGGACCCTTGAGTGATTTATTCTTTAATTTACAACCAGACTCCTCTAAATGATTATATGATATTCGTATTTTCTTCTATAAATTCTTACCATAAACTGTCTTTCACTTTATATTTCTGAATCTAGTACCATTACTATTCCTGACTTGAGTAAAGTGAAAATGATTCTAGAATATCCTGAAAACAATGAATGGGGATTTTTTAGAGTTGAGATAATTATGCATTTATAAATATATCTCTGAAATATACATGTTTAAATATCACAAGCTTAACTTTTTTATTTTTTTATTATGTTGTTAATCACCATACATTACATCATTAGTTTTTGTTATAGTGTTCCATGATTCATTGTTTGCGTATAACACCCAGTGTTCCATGCAGAACATACCCTCTTTAATACCCATCACCAGGCTAACCCACAAGCTTAAATTTTGATATTTGTTCAAATGGTAGTCATAGAAGGGTGACAATTATTATTTGCTTTAAGAAGAAAGATAATGTGTATTTAAGCTAGATTTACATTTCTTATAGCAGAGTCATTCACAAGAAAAATACAAAGTCTGATATGCTTCCTTCATTCTGACATGCTACTTTTCATTCATACATGATATAATTCATTCTTTTTTAAAAATTCAGCAAAAATATACTAAACATGTTTATGTACCAGAATGGTCGCTAGTTCTACAGTGATAAAACGCATGGATCCTGCCCTTAATGATTTTAAAGTCTGTTGGGAAAGGAAACATGCAGACAAGTTAGAACAATATAATTCCTTGCTATGATGAAAGTCCAAAATATAGTGAGGGCCTAGGAGAAAAAACATAAAATCTTCCCAGGGTAATCTGAGATGATGTCACAGAGAAGGAAGCAACTGAAACTTAAGAAAATCAGTAGATGTTAATATCACAGGGTAAACTGTAAACCCCCTGCAACCCAATAGGGATGGGTAAGTTATTTGTAAATTCCTCGAAACGATGCCTAGCACATAGTCAATAATATAGGTGTGTATCTTCATTAAATAAGTAAAATGAGAGGACATGGAAACATTTGCTCCTGTTTCAAACACTTGTAAATACCAGTTTACTTATGAATAAATAAATACATACATACATAAGCAAACAAATAAATATTTATAAGTATATATTGTATACTTATATATACTTATAAGTATACTTATAATATTATGTATATAAGTATATAATATATATTATATACTTATATATCATACATATTATATACTTATAAATATTGCTCAAATACTTATAAACACTGCTCAACTAGAAACCAAGACAAACTCATTCTTAGGTCCCAGTAACAAAGAGGAAATTCATTGTCAGAGTAGGGTGAAAGCTAAAGCCAAAGTATTCATGGAGATGTCAGGATGTCATAGAGATCGGGAGCTGGGACTTTAATATATTATGGGACTGTGATACTAAGGTATAGCTGTGTGTGTGTGTGTGTGTGTGTGTGTGTGTGTGTGT